ACAGAAAATGTGTCGACTACCGTGACTGTTTACAAGTCTGGTGTGAACACCAGCAAACAGGGGGGGGGGGGTTGATTTTTGACAAAGTGTATCGAAAGTAAAATCGAGCAGATTTTTCATTATGGCGGCGATCAAAATCAGACCAAGAAATCAGATAGTCTAAACAGACCTTTACAGACATACTGCGCTAGTAGGTCCAAGTCCGGTGGGTGGGTGTCACACCTATGTAAAGGCCGACTTCGGACAGCTTCCAGGACCAACATTTTACGAGGTGTGTTTTCGATTTTGATGTTTTAGTTTTATGGTATTTGACGTTTTGGTTCAGAGCCCTAATCCGTATCAATGGGAACATTAACAGGCTGCTCACGGTGTGTTTTGTAGAACAACTTCAACATAAAAAAATCGGCAAGTCTGATAATTGCACACAAGTTTTTTAAAAGTTTTTTTCAGCATTTAAACTATGGTTTTACAATGGTAGCTTGTGAATATCCAAGACATTGGTAGTAAGAGCCCTCATCCCCCTTTTTTAATAAAAAAAGGGACAGCAGAGCGGTGGAAAACATGTGAAACAGAAAAGTAGAGAAACCAAGGTAAGTAGAGAGTATAAGTAGGCCTTTCGATTAAAAATAATTAGTAACATAAACATTAGCGTAACAATGTGACGCTAATGTTTATTTGCGGTTAGAGGTGTATTTAAATAACAAATATGATAGGACGTGCTATAGTTTTTACAAATGAGCACTATTGTATAAAATCTCGGAACTGAGCAAATGATCGTCGTAGTTTTCTGACGTCTCTGGAACTTTCATCTTCTGCCATGTTAGTCCAAAATCAAAATGAACAGTTTCACACGCCTGTTCGCCATATAGCCCTAACCCTGATCCTACGAAGTTGCAGAACTCTGGAACATGAAGGCGTAAGATAAGGAACTTGGAGCTATTCGGAATGCAGCTCTCTACAAATTCTTCAATTCTCTGAAGATATCCAGAAATTAAGTTTTCTTGAAGCCAAGCTTTGAACACCTAAGCAAAACGGTTAAGTATCTACAAATAGTCGCTTAATTAAGTGAATATAAGTGATAGAAGTGATAATAAGAGAAAAGTTAAATTTAATTCTTACATTTCTGAAAATACTGAGTGGCCCATCCAAGAGCAGCTTTCAACAACGTCCTCTTCTCCAGTAATTTGTGGAAGTTTCTATCTGTAAAGCCATACTTGCTATGACGTTGACATGAACTTAGCTTCACCCACTGTTCAGCAGTTGTTGGATCAACAGCTTCAACACCTTTGTAAATGGCGTTTATGATCCCAAGTACGATATGGAGCACGGGTGGTGGACAAAGCAGAACAGTTCTTTGATTAGGAGTTCCACACAACATTGGTTTTTGAACGCAATTATAAAAATGCTTTGCTCGTTTATCATCAGCACCGTCAGTCTTTCTTGCTCTCTTGAGAAAGCATGGACTTACATACTTGTGCAGCAATATGGACAAGGATAAGTTGAACTGTGACCCATGATACCTAGCAAAAGATTGATGATTTTTAGGTCACCTGCGACAACCGCTTGCAATTTGTCCAACGCGAGAAGTATCGACCAAACTTATACAATATTGGTGTACTTTTCCGGAATGCTGGGTATTACTGCAAGAAGAAACAACTTCTTCACTCCTGTATCTTTAGGTCCATTCCCCCTTTTTCGCTCCTTTTCTACGATAGATAACGTAATCTTCACTGAGCCTCCTCGCCCATCTGCTACTATCTTTTAGAATACATCGGTATTAGATAGAAATATTGCATGTTCATCTTACTCGATTGAAGCCTTCACGTCGTTACAATATATATGGAAAAGGTCTGCTCGAATTCAAACGGAAGATGTGTAACAGAAAAGAACTCCTTGAGCTTCTTGTTCATATCTTTAATCTTTTGGGGAAGATAAGAAGGGGCTTCGATGTCCATTCCTCGGAGGGCACTGCTTAGTTGCAATGTCTTCCTTTACAAAGGAATAGTTTCAAAGCTATTCCTGTTATCATTTTTAGAGAACTCAAATATGAGTTCTTTGAGAATTCTGAGAAGCATTTCAATGAATTCACGGGACAACTGAGGAATTTAGAGGGGATTCCGAAGATAATTCCATTGGTATTTTAGGAGAATGATTAGTGAATAATAAGAAGAGGGAACTCACAGGTACAGTTGTGGCATCTGCATAACAGACGCCATCGAATTCTGTTCATTTCCAGCAGATCGTATTTGTTGCACCACTGCTGAGTCGAAATTCCCTAGCTGTCGCCAGTCATCGACCCTACAATAAGTGTCGAGGTACTGCATAATCAATTTCCGAGGAAAGGATCTAATTACTAAGCCAATGCACTACGCTTGTTTCCAAGTGGCGTTGTCACCATACGACATGTAACGTGAGAAAACCGCAGCGCGGTTTCTCTCTTGATCATTTCCCTCCCTCTCTTGGTCGATCTATGTATCGATCGCTGATTGGCTACCAAATACATAATGACTTCAATTACCTCCAGTTTAGGCTAAGTTATATATGAACAATAAAATCAATCTAACATAAACCATCAACAAGTGAAGTTGAATAATTCAATGAGAAACACAAGTGACAGATAGCAGGATACTTCACACAATGTTGGCAAAATATCAAAAAATCAAATCTCACTAATGCCCAAGATCACGCTTGATTTTCATAAACAAAAAATCAACAAGCAAACAATTGCGGTTGATTTTGCAAGCTGTGATATTGCAGTTCGGAATATCAAGCTATTAAAACTCACCAGCTGCAAATCTCACCAAACTGTGGTGAGATTGAGTTTAATCAGTATTGCTTTACACCCGAACGCAACCGAAACTTCCATAACGGCTGACAGCAGTCCCTTCGTGTCTGACATCGGTGAATAGTAAAAAGAGATAGCAAACTATACATTCTCTTTCTAAGAAAACTATGTGCAACTGAATCATTTAGCTGGGTTTAGACACGGCATGTCAATTGATCAAGTCAGTTGAATTCAACTGACTTGAACGCGAATTGAACGTGTAAACCATGCCATTCAACTGACTTGATCAACTCACTTGAATTGAAAAAGGTTAAACCAGGCTCAACTTTTCAAGCTAATTGAATTCAACTGAGTTGATCATTTGACTTGCCTAGTCTAAACCCAGCATTATTGTGTCGAGTCAACTCTCAGCTTGATTTTTGCACGTTGTGAATAGTCTCGCAATATTAAAGGAGCTGGTAAAATCAATATCAAGCATGATATTTTGTTCCAAAATCACGCGTGATATTGAGAGTGTATGAGAGCGGAGAAATACCATTTGATTGATGATTTTGCCAACACTGCACAGGTAATACAGCGAACCCCCCTTGTTCAGTAACATCCAGAGGGCTATTACTGAGACACATTTTGTAACCTTCACGTTGATGGAATATCGAAGCAACCTGTTAATTTTGCCATTGAATCAGAATATGGCTCTGTACCAAAACGTCAAATCCCATAGGTACCAGAAGGTCAAAGTCGAAGACATGTTGAATTAACACTTAATATAGGTCAACCCTGGTATTATCCTTCGGCAAGGTAACCTTTTCTGATGGTTCAAGCTACTTCGATACTTACTTCCTCCGATTTCATCAATTTTATGAGTGGCAGGCAGTAGTGATTCATTTGTATGCGCTTTTTTTGCGCTTTTCCAGGAAATATTCCGAAATTTGATGGTTTATTAAAACATTGTTCTTCCGGCAATCAGACTTGTTGAGCAATATCGTTAAAAACACCACCCATCAATGAATGGCTTCGGAACGTCATCGAGATACAAATGGCAGTCTGTTAAAAATGTGCTTATAATTTGTGGCACACCCTATAGGTTCAAAATGGAAACATAAGCCACAGGCAAAATACTGTTGCATCACTTAAACCAAAAAGTTTGTTGTTATTACCGTCAACGCTCCCAAACACGATATCGGAAGAACCTACAAGTATTGGAATCATCGGTGCGCAGCTTCGAAACCTTTTTGTGTCGAATTAGTATTTAATTTTGGTTAACTTAAGTTCGATTGTACTTGCAATTTTAATATGAAAAGACATTCCCAAATCCTAACAAAAAAAATAGGGAGAGAAAGAGAACACCAGCCACCCAGGAAATAGATTCACTTGTCACCAACTTTTCCCACCCAGAGTGGTGGCATCCTCAAACAAGGCATGAATTGTGTAACAATCGTTTCTACCTTTATCTCGCTCCTGGCAAAACTTCAAAAGTACACATCCCTTGACGGGAGAGAGTCCTTCCAAAACGGCATCCTCCTTCGCTCTTTCACTCATTCGCGCACACACAAACACACTCACAAATTACTCGCACACTCTCAAACAATCTGCTGCTATGGTGCTCCGGTGTGTAAGCTACTACAATGGTAGTATCATCGCACCGCGGAAAGCCGTCCTTGCTGGGTGGTGGGTCGGCAGAGATCTAGAAGCTACTATGTGCCGTCAGCCAAGGGAAGGGACCGCAGCGAGGATGCGCTAGCGAGGGGGGGGGTGCATGACAGAAAACGCACAGCGCACACCGCAGAACCATTGTCGCCGGGCAGCGAGCGCAAATTGTCGAGAGGCCATGAGGAAGCTTTCTTCCAAGAAGCGAACTCCATTTCCATTTCTTGGACACGAAAGGATTGAGCGATCTGATTGACAGCTGACAACTGACGCCTGCTATGATAGCTGACGGTTTGACAGCGCGCGTGGTAGCCTGGTTCATACTCGCCTACTTAATCGCTCCGGGCTCCAGCAGTGGAGTCGGTGCGAGATGGGCGGAAAGAGAGAAAGAGAGAGTGTGTTTGAGATGAGAGTTTGGTTCAAAGGAAGAAGGAAAAAAAACTAGGGTGGGGTCTGATAGCTATATTTAGAGTGATGCTTCCTGTGCCCAAGGATCGCTGCCTCCGCGGCAAAATGGGTCGCATGGTTCGCTCAAAGGCTACTACGAATGTCTAATTTTAGTACTTACCAAAAATTTTTCCTCGTGTTTTATTTTGTTCTTCCCTAGTATCTTATTATATCATGAAAGTGCATCCAAAAGATTACAAGATGTAAAATTTCCTTATCACCTATGATCCCGTTTTTTCCTCTAAAATTTTCCGAGTTTTTCCACAACTTTGCTTCCGCTTCTCGCCTCGCCAGGGGGGAGTAGATCTCAGGATGGAGAAAACTGCTTTGCGTTGGTTTTACTCTTTTTTTTGTGTGTGATTTAGTTTTACTTGTTATAAGTTGGTGTTATCGCTTGTCTCGATTTGCCGATTTGCGGCGCGGTCTCGTCGTGTCAGGGCGTGAATGCGGTTTTTGGAAAAAATCCCCGGACCGTCGTCGTCGCTCTCGCTCTTTCAGAAGCACCTCCGGTTAATTCTAACAATACTTTGGTTTAGAGAAAAAGGTGGAATTGGTTTTGTTATATGTATCAATTTTTTTTTCTTCGTCTAACGATTTGCAATCTTCAGAACACTCTCGATGACTGCCGCCGACGATTCTCACTCCCGGACCGATGAAAAATTTAACCAAGTCACGGATGGAACGATAGGTAGTCGTAGTATTAGTAGTAGTAGTAGTAGTATGTGGATTGATTGATCAGTGGTACAAGAAGACGCGAGGAACTCAAAATCCAGTCACTTAGGGAAAACCGAAAAACTTTCAAACTCTTTCCTAACTTTCGCCACTTTCAGGATTTGGAGGAAATTCGACCACTATTTCCCCGACTTGCCACTTCCCGTGCGTGTAATCCCAATGGGGGAAATTAAACTTCACTCGCAACACTTTTTCTTCTTCCGTTTTTCGCTTTCGCCACTCGGCTGTCGCGCTACGCCCCGGATGATGATCGAGCAGACACTCCGTCGACCGTATTCCGAAAAATCCCGGCCACTTCCGCTGCTATTTTCCGACCGAGACCAAATTTCGAGCTTCCTCTGATTCGGGTTTGCTTCTGCCCCTTTAAATGTCGTATAATTTCCGCTTTTTCAAATTCTCGAAACTGGAAAATATTACTATTGCAAAAATTATAACAAAATTAAGATGATGCACGAACAGACGAAAAATCAACTTGTCTAGCGCTGGAAAATATACACTGGATTGGAGTCGGTGTCGAAGAAAAATCAGGAACAAGGCTCAACCTTTTTCCAGATTTCGGGGGATACCAATACCAGCGCGCTAGCACGATTCGTCCTTTCCGCTGGTATTGGTACCGCGCACAACCACCCAGAAACACACGTTATCACACAGCTTCCTGCCTCTGTCTGCCAGCCAGCCATCCACGGTTTCAGCTGTTCGTGCGCTCCCTGCTCAAGGGTGGAAAATCGATTTTCCTACGTACGAACACGCTCGGTAGGTAGGTAAGTGTACGCATTCGCAGGACACGCGCGCTCTCGCACTCACACTGACGCTTGATGGTCGTCGTCGTCGTCGTCGTCGTCGTCGCGTGTGTAGGACGATCAGGAAGGGTGGTGGAATCGAAGCATACACAGAGAAAGCAGACCGAGGACCTCAGCAGGCGCATGCGTTCCGGTTGCTCTGGTGGCCGACGTCGCTATCGCTGTTCGCCTCATCGCAGCTGGCTGTGCCAAGTGGAAAATAAGGGTGGATTTGGCACACACAGACATCAGTGTAGGCCGGGTGGAGCAGGGCTGAGTTGTGGATAAAATTTGCTCCATTTTAAGTGGAAGGCTGAAGTCTTTCATCTTTCATTTGGCGGTTTAGCAAGGAGAAGCTTTTTGAAATGTTGTTCGGTTTTGAGATTCAATTGCACTGCCAATATCAATTAGTCAGGTCTCTAACGCTATTATGCCTAAGAGGTCATTTGGTCAAATTAGTAGTAATTTTCACGGAATTCTAGCTTCTGTCTAACTGCATAAGATTTTTTTTTCAAATTCACATGGTGAAGAGCAATTCCCGATTAGTAATTTTCTGGGTTTTTCCGTGTTTCCACGGAATTTTGAAAATTTTCCCAGTTGTGCGATATACATTTAAATTAAGCATATATCCGAATGCGATTGAGTCGAAATGATTACTAGGTTAAATGAGTTACACTCTTCCCCCGAAGAACGCGAACTCGGTCTACACGAATTCCATTTACGTTGGTCTCGAATGATTCCGTTTACGCGAGGGAGTACACGTAGCATATGGGATTTGTTCTTATAGGGACCAACATGGAATATCTCGTGATCCTGGACATATAGATACCGGCAACACGGTTTGCTTTTTGTTTACCGCTTCTAGTTTTGTGCTCCAGATTTATTTCCAAATCCACCCAAATACGTGTTTTTAAACACCCGTTTTTATTCGTCTGCATACCCAAAGTGCTTTGTCGTGTCACCAACATAAAGTTTCGGTCTATTGCCTGTTCCGTCGCGATTTTTCTTGGTTCTGTGTTGACCGCTCTTGCATCAAAAAGTGTTGATCCGTAGCTGTTTGTTTTCATTACCGTCATTATTCATCGCCTATTGTCCGCTACATACATCGATTCACCGTGAACTGCATCATTCGGACTGTTTCACGGAGAAAAAAATTTGACTTGTTTCTGTCCGTGTTATTGTGCTGCCTACGAGAAGGCGTTCAACAGCAAGCTTGCTAGTGGGAAGCCAAGTGAAACCGAAATGGCAAAACAACAATGTGGCGAGTGCAAACAAGAGATCCATGATCTCGAGCCAATTTGCTGTGGTTTTTGTGAGGCTTCTTATCACATTAACCAACAGTGTTGTGGTTTGAATTCTCGCACGATGAAAGAAGCACTCTCAGCCGGGAAGGCAATGTTTATTTGTCCTCCCTGTAGAACTGTGCTGAACGGCCGGTCCATTCGCACTTATCTTGCCGAAAACCTAAGGTGCCAACACATTGATACGCCACCGCTTGCTGATTTGCCTAAGCAAGTACAGGAGCTGTCCATCGTGGTGGAAAAACTGAGCCAGAAAATTGAAAGATTTGCTACTCAGACAAATCCCGTTCCCACTCCGTTACCTTGGCCAAAACCTGTAGACCGCCGTGAAGTCCGTAGACCGGAGATATCTGTACCTGCCGTTAACGGAACGAAGGCGATTGATTTTGGCGAGATTCATCTTTATGTGCCGTCTATCGCGCAAGCTGCGGCACCAGAAAAGTTTTGGCTGTACATGACTGGCTTAAATCCGCTAATCAGTAACAGTGACAAGCAGAAAATCGTTGCGCGTTGTTTGTGTACTTCGGATGCTGCTGATGTGGTGCGCCCTGTTCCGAAGGGCAAAGATACCACCAACTTGACGTTTGTATCTTACAAAATCGGATCGGACCCTAACCTCAAGGAACTGGCGTTGGAACCCTGAGCCCGTTGGTATCCGTTTGCAGGAATTTGTCAATTTTTCAAAAAACTGATGTTTTCTGTTGGTTCTACTGGATCAACGATCGACCACCACAAATTTCCGGAAAAATCAACTGACAACGCAAGCCATGATGGACTAAGGACCCCGCGACGCATGTTAGATAGCACTTTGGAGGCCTCTTCTCAGCCCGACACAGTCCCGTCTCTTGCTGCCAGCGATTATCTTAGTCGTCGTGGTCCTGTTGTCGAGTCTGAAATTGAGGTCCTCCAGCCTGCTCTTCCAGGCAAGTACGTTCAATATCATATGCTTTCACTACCTGATCGACATTCCGTTTCCAGCGTGTGTCTCGTCGAGGACACTATTGGCTACAATACACCGACACTTAGTCCTCCACCACTTTTCTACGCTTCGTCTTCACACCATTCTCCAACGCAACCAAGATCACCGCCATCGAACCCGGAACGCCTGACACAAAGCAGTACGGATGCCCCTGACCCACCTAGCTCAGTCGCGCCTCCAGCCATAATCGAAAACCTGTCGCAGTTCTCTCGTTCCTGCCATCCAAGTCGTCCCGGCCCTGAGTCTAGCGCTGGCGATGGGGTCTTCCAAGCTGCCCATCATGGCAAGTATCCTATTAGTAACGGCAACCCCGCTCTGACGAATCTTCAATCCCTAGGACTGCGCCTCTATCAAGTAATGCTGCACCTGCTTCTTCGAATGTCCTAATGTACTACCAAAATGTTGGTGGGATCAACAGCTCTCTCGCCGAGTACCAATTGGCCTTCAGCGACGGTTCCTATGATGTTTACGCACTTTCCGAAACCTGGCTATGCGTTGTGTATATTCCCCCTGATCGAGTAAACGATGAATCTTTGATCGAAAAGCATATCGATTCGCTTAACTGGGTGGTTTCGCAGTTAGGACCAAGAGACAACGTTATCATCCTAGGCGATTTCAACTTGAGCTCAATCTCTTGGCAGCGTAGTCCTTGTACCCGATTACATCACGATTCTCGATTAGCCAGGCATCACGGAAGCTGCTTGATGCGTATAGCACCGCTGGACTCAGACAAATGAGTGGAATTGCAAATGAAAACAATCGTACGCTTGATCTATGCTTCGTCAGTGAGGAACTTTGCGAGCACAGCACAGTTATGCAAGCTCCATCACCGCTCGTTAAAATCTGCAGGCATCATCCTCCTGCACTGATGGAATTCAAGATAAGTCCACAGCAACGCTTCCAAGATACTTCTGAAAGCATCGCCTATGATTTCAGAAAGGCTGTATCCTGTGGTACCCAACAAACAATTTTAGCTGCAGATTAGCTTATACAGCCAAAATTTGCCTTATGCAGCTAATTTTTGCCTGCATAAGCTAAGCTGCAGCTAAAATTGTTTGTTGGGTATGCCATCGATCAGTTCGTTCCCGTGAAGTCTAGACACGAACCGGCTAAGCCAGTCTGGTCAAGTGCTGACCTCAAGCATCTTAAGACTGTGAAGCGGGCAGCTCTCAGACGACATAGCAAGTATCGCACGGACTCCACGAGAATGAGATATATGGCGGCGAGCACTGAATACAACCAACTTAATAATCGTTTGTACAACGCATATCAGGACCATCTGCAAAGGCGCTTCAAGACAAATCCCAGAAGTTTTTGGCGTTACGTCAATGACCAACGGATGGAATCCGGACTGCCCTCTACGATGACTAACGGATTGTTCGAAGCTGATTCTACCACTGACAACGCTGACCTGTTCCGTTCTCAATTCAGGATGTGGCCGTCGCCACCAGAAATGTTCCTCAACTTTCGGCCTCTGGGCTACAGTTCGTGATCACGAACGATATGGTTATATCAGCCGGAAAGGATTTAAAATCCTCCATGGGATTCCATCGCTTGTCCTCAAATGCTGCGCGGATACACTTGCAACACCACTAGCAAGAGTATTCAACCTATCTTTGGCTACTGGTGTATTCCCAAACTGCTGGAAGCAGTCGTATGTTTTCCCAGTTTTTAAGAAAGGCTGCAAGCGGATTGTTTCGAATTATCGGGGCATAGCTGCGTTGAGCGCCACTTCTAAGCTGTTGGAGGTGATCGTTCTGCATAAGCTGGTTCAGAACTACGCACACTACATTTCGGTTGATCAGCACGGATTTATGCCTAACCGTTCGACGACAACTAATTTGACTTGTTTCACTTCGTTCGTGATCCGCCAAATAGAAAATGGTCAACAAGTAGACGCTATTTACACAGACTTATCCGCGGCGTTTTATAAAATGAATCATCAAATCGCAGTTGCTAAATTCGACAAACTGGGAATGAACAGTAACTTGCATTCCTGGCTTCGATCCTACCTAACCGGTCGAAGTATGTCCGTCAAAATTGGAGACCACATTTCGGCCTCCTTTCCGGTTTGGTCCGGTGTACCCCAAGGAAGTCACTTGGGGCCGTTTCTATTCTTGCTGTATATGAACGATGTCAATTTCATCTTGAAATGCCTAAAACTCTCATATGCCGATGACCTGAAGCTTTACTACATGATTTAGCAACCACAAGACGCGTTTTTTCTGCAACAACAACTGGAAGCCTTCGCTGAATGGTGCCATATTAATCGAATGTCGCTGAACGTGTCCAAATGTTCGGTTATTTCATTTGGCCGCAAGCAATCACTCTTCCATTTTAGCTATGCTTTGGGAGGCGTGAATCTACAACGTGATTCGACAGTCAAGGACCTGGGGATTCTGGTTGATACAAAATCGCGTACGTTGTGTCTAAAGCCTCATCGCAACTAGGATTTTTAT